TCGGGGGGTCACCCATTATAGAATTGCTCCAAGCCAAGCACACTTAACTGTAGAGTTTCTAACGATGGATTTTCGGAAAAAAAGGTGCACCTTGTTGGTATGAGTAGTACCTATCAAATCTTTTAATTTTTCTTGGTCTAAGTATTACAGTTGGAATGCCAACAAGCGTTTATTATTGAATTACCTATTAATTTTGAGAATGCTCGCTACTTCAAATTTTATTATATTCTTGAAAATACATTGACGTACACGTGTTACAAATTGCCAACTCAATAAATAAGTTCTGACAATTATCGACTCACCACATTGAAACGTAGATCCTAGCTTTTGAGTTAGTGAGTAGCTAATTTGAACACGGAACAAGAACCGACAACATTGAATGCCACGAAACAGTTATGCTACTAACTATAGTATATATGACGCGAGACGATTCCGCTTGTACATTTGCCCAGACCAAATCGAACGATGATGATTATCTACACTTTCATTAAGTTTTCATTAGAATTAATTTTAAAAGGGCCTCCTATGACGACATATTAATAGTTTTATCCATTTTAATAAAGTCTTGCTTCTCCACATTCTTCTTCACACACGTGGATTGCTGGAAACTTCACGACCTGTCATCCTACTGTCATCGATTCCTAATTACTTTTTGTTTAGAATAATGAATACAATGCAAAAGAAAAACAAGCACACCTCAAATCTCATATTCTTGAAAAATACATTGACATATACCTGTAAGTTACAAATTGCCAACTTAATGTGTAACTTCTAAGCTGGCATATATCAACTCAAAATCCTTGCAAGTAGCTACTCTACTCTTGAATTGGCAATTAACACCTAGCTTTTGAATGGTAGCAACTAATTTGAATATGAACGTCAAATTAAAAACATGTAGTATCCGCATTAAATTCGTTGAACTCTTTACACTATTAATTATGGTAACAATGCCAATACATATGACGCAAGACAGATTCTCTTGTAGATTCGTCCATATTTCATCGAATAACGATGATTATCTACACTTAATTAAGTTTCCACACTTGAGACAAAAATCAACAAATATTCTTCTATTCTTGATCTTGCTATTATTTATTTTCTTCTTGATCCTAACAGTAATTAAAATTAAATTAGTACATGATAAATCCTTTGCAGGAGAGGCAGAGGCTATTCTAAAAAATTAAATTAAAACCTCACTGAGGTCATTTTTCTATATTCTACCTTCAATTTGGTCCATTTTAAGAAAAATCCTCGCAGGCCTGTGGTATTAAAACCCAAAATTACCCTTGATGGCTCTCTACTTTGAGTTTTTGTTTCAACAGCCGCACTGCTTCTCTCTCTCTCTCTCTCTATATCTCTCTGAATGAATATGTATATGTACGCCTCCATCGACTCCTCCATCACCGCCGCTGTAATCGCTGCCATCACCGCCGCGGTGTAGGGTTTTCTAGAGCTGGATTCTCTCTGTTCGCCACTCCCCATAACCTTACGCCGTTCTTTCACCGGTTTCGTTGATTAATCCACCGCCACTCCCAAACCCCAGACCTAAATCTCTCTCTCCTTTTTTTTTCACTCCTTTTGCAGTTTATTCAGAACGAAAGTTGTGAAAAAGACCAAGCTTTTGAAATTAATCGATCGCAACTTCACTAGGGTTGTCTAGGGTTCGGTTCCTGTTATGAGTTGCCCTCCCAAATCTGTTCGATTGGGGCAAGGCTGAAATAATAAGAAGAGTGGGAGGCGTTTTTTATGGCATTGGGGGATTTGATGGCGGCATCTCGGTTTTCACAGTCATCGGCGGCCGTTTCGAACCACCTGGTTGAGTTCTCCGCAAATGGGAATCACGTGGAGGAGGATGGAGAGAGGAGCGTGAACAGCAGTAATAGCATTGGTAATACTAATGCTCGGGATTTGTCAGAGATTGCAAGCAGTAGCTATGCCGTGATGACCTCGACGACTAGCATGGCATACTTGCCACAGAATGTAGTGTTGTGTGAGTTCCGGCATGATGGGTTCGAGGAATGTGTGCCCTCCGGCCCATCTGACGGTGGATTGGTCTCCAAATGGAGGCCTAAGGATCGGGTAAGCTACAACATTTTCACGGTCATTGATTGCTAATATCTTGAGCTCTTTGCTGTTGGTTTTCTTATTTGGAACTTGTATTTATGAGGCTTGTAAAAAATATCGGAACCAGATAGGCCCATTTCTCCGAATTGTGGTAATTTATCTTGTTCAAAGTATAGTTGCAAATGTGTGAATACGTTATATTTGGATAACTTGTTATTCATAGACAGTTAGGTTTTAGTAATCGGCTTAGAGATTATGCTAATAAGGCGGTGGACTTTAATGCGAGTAATGTATTTTACTTTAAACATTGGGAAGTGTGTTTTGATAATTTTTAACCGTGTAACAATGGAGACAACTCTTGCACGGTATGGTGGTTGAGGTCCATGAAATTAGCTGCAACTTAACTAGATTTTAGCATGATCGTATCACTTTCTAGGTTCTATGATACATTAATGACTAACAAGATTGGTGGTGGAAAATGCAAGTGGATATGGTATATGTAACTGTTTCCCTGGCCCCCGTCCTCTCACTTCCTATTTTCTGTATGTTTTACCTTTTCTCAAGTGAAGAATACAAGTAATTTTTTAGGACTGGAATTGCTTCATGTAAGGAAAAGCCAGAGCTACTTGAGAAGAAACAGTCCCAGTGGTTGTCTTAAATTATGTCAACGATATTCAACTACATTACTCGACTGCTTTTAAAAGTACGACCATAGTTGTAATGGTGTAAAATAGGCAAGTCGTGTTGTCAGTAAAAGGGATAATTGGAGTGAGGCGAGGTCGACATTATGGTGCAGGATAGCATACTGAACTTCAGGTGGACTGTTCACTATATTCTAGAGGTTCTAGTATTAAATATATGGTGGAAGTGATGATTGGTGATTGCAAACGTTGTGTTCTTTGTACATTTATTTACCTCCATGTATTTAAGTGTGCCTGCTATATGAATGATAAAGCTGATTTTCCATGATCGTTATTTGTTATTTAGAGATTATGTTGTTTTTGTTCATGAGTGCCTTACATTTCATGCCTTTTGACTTTACTGCTGTTGATAACTATGTTGAAGTTCATTTCAGTCTATGTTGTTTTCAGAAAATTATGAGATGAGACTTATCTTTTGTATACTTGTCTGTCCCAACTTCCTACATTTATTGCAGATGAAGACGGGATGTGTTGCTCTTGTTTTATGTTTAAACACTAGCGTTGATCCGCCTGATGTTATAAAGATATCTCCTTGTGCCCGGATGGAGTGCTGGATTGGTACAATCATCATCTTGCTTCTCTCTCTTTGATATAAACTCTTGCTGTAAAAGTTACTTTTTTGTAATTTGGTCCTATTTGCTTGATTATCAATGTGTCTGGATCATTCAAGTTCTGTTTATGTCTTCGCAGTTTTGATCTCTAATTATTAAAGTTCACCTAATAACTTGTTGTAGCAACGTGTCTGGAAAGTTTTCATTCAAGTTCTGTTTAAATCTTCAATAACTCTGCATTTTTGATCTCTAATGATAAGAGTTCACCTAATATCTTTTTGTTGCTCAACGCTTGCACCCATGTTATACTTTGGCGTACTTTTTAACACATTTTCATGCATGTTGATTACATGCTCATTTTGCCAAGATTTTCTACAGGCTATCAACTTGAGCTAATAAATTCAAGCTGAAGAATGTTAAAAACTGGAACATCTATTTCCATCTTGCTCTGCTTTGTAACCCAGTAAGAATTTGGTTATTAGGTACCAATTGCTCTGGGCATTGTCATTCATTGATGAGTTATTTACTACCTAAGTATATTGGAGTCTGTAAAAAGTTTAATGATTCTATGTACTAAGGAGCTTAATTGAATTAATCTGAAAAGAATTCAACATTTTTAGTTTGCAAGATGGTGGCTGTTCCGAACTTATTCCAAGATTGATGTGCCTCTTTAAACACTATCCTTGTGAAATGTGGGATATTTTAATTGATCGATGAATTCACAGTTGTTCTTCCTTATAAAAGTGGCTCTCTTTTCTTTTTTGACAATTTCAATACATTCATATCATTTTTTCATGGTTTTTTGCTCATTCTGCAGATCCATTTTCGATGGCACCTCAAAAGGCAATTGATACAATTGGAAGAACCTTGAATCAACAGTACGAGAGATGGCAGCCTAGGGTAACGAAAATGTTATCTCTTAAACGATTTCATCTATTGATTCTCTAAAAATTACTTGTGTTCTGTACTTGATAATAAGAAACAGTCTGAAAAGAGAGGATTTGTACTTCCTGAGGTACAATTGAGAGTCAAATATTCATCAAACAATGGTTGATATATGGCAGGCTCGTTATAAGATTTCATTAGATCCTACTGTTGATGACGTCAAGAAACTTTGTACCACATGTCGCAAATATGCAAAATCTGAGAGAGTTCTGTTTCACTATAATGGACATGGTGTGCCAAAGCCAACTGCTAATGGTGAAATTTGGCTATTTAATAAGGTTTCTTTCCTTAACGCTCTCAATTTTTCTTGTGACATTCTGTTTCAGTACATTTTTCTCTGGTTCTCATTGAGCTCTTTGATGTAGAGTTATACTCAGTACATCCCTTTGCCAATAAGCGATCTGGATTCCTGGTTGAAAACACCCTCAATATATGTTTTTGACTGCTCTGCTGCTGGGATGATTGTTAATGCCTTTGTTGAGGTATTCATACTGTTGTGGAATGAGAAGCGGTTCATATAAGTCCATATGGCAACTTAATATTTTTCTTGTAATTTCACAGCTCCAGGACTGGACTGCTTCAAGTTCTGGACCCTCCACGAGGGATTGTATTTTGCTGGCAGCCTGTGAAGCTCATGAGATACTCCCTCAAAGTGCTGAATTTCCAGCTGATGTATTTACTTCCTGCCTGACAACACCCATAAAAATGGCTTTGAGATGGTGACATATTTCTCCTAACCCTTCATCTTCAGAGCTGCCATAGATGTTTTTAGCTTCACCGTAGTCTATAATTAATTTTTCTGTCTGCAAAGGCAACAGGTTTGTGGCTAATATGCTTGTAGTTGGTGAAAAGTTCAACAAACTTTTACTTCTCTTCAGATCCTTTTTCTATTACTATGTTCCCATCTTTGTGTAATCATTATGCCCCTTTGGTCTGACAACATAACTGGTATTAAATAGTCTTCCTGTGTGTTTTTAAGTTGAAAACATATAGTAGAAAGATATTATTCCTTTTAGAAAGGAAGAAATGTTCAATTACCATCCAGAGACAATACACATTGTTGCCAGCTCGCAGCTGATAATACTTATGTATTTTTCATGAGCTCTGATTTACTTGGTGTACATTGTAATTCCTGAATAATTAATTTCCATAAACTTGCTTAATCTTCTATGTTTTGCATCAGTGACACTCCAATGTGCTTTACCTATTCAACTGGTTGCTGTGTTCTCGTTATATATAATTATATTATCAATTGCTCTGTACCATAGATGTTTTTGAGCATATTGATGGTTTTTCAATGCTGTATGAGCTGCCACTCGTGCATATATCACATGATAATGTGGTTTCCTATCATGATGGTCCAGTAGCTTGGGATTCTTAACGTGGATATTTTTACCATCAATCTCTATTCTCTACTAATTTGCTAATTTATTTATCCACGTGTGTCTTTCATCCTTTGCCTATTATTGATAATATCTCCCTTAATTGGGCTTATTAATGTGCTCTGTTGTTTTACAATGTTTCTGCCCATTAATAGTTATTTGTGTATAACCCCCTGAATTCTTGGTCTCCAGGTTCTGCACTCGCTCGTTGCTTCATGAGTCCATTGACTACTCGCTTATTGATAAAATTCCGGGCCGCCAAACAGACCGGAAGACCCTTCTTGGGGAGTTGAACTGGATTTTCACAGCAGTGACTGACACAATTGCCTGGAATGTTCTCCCACATGGTGAATAACAGCTGTCTCATGCAGCTTTTATGTTTTGCTTATTTATGGTGATATTAAGCGAAAGTGAAATTTGAATTCAACAGATCTGTTTCAGAGGTTGTTCAGGCAAGACTTGTTAGTTGCCAGTCTTTTTCGAAATTTTTTGCTCGCAGAAAGAATAATGCGCTCCGCAAACTGTTCGCCAATTTCATATCCAGTGTTGCCTCCTACTCATCAGCATCACATGTGGTAACTTTTAGAAAGGCTTCTCCCTGTACATTTAGAAATACTAAAACTTACCTGGTTTGATAATTGTTTGTCTATCTGTTTCTTAATCTTCTCTTCATCCACTATAGGGATGCATGGGACATGGCTGCTGAAATATGCCTTTCCCAGCTTCCAACTTTGGTTGAGGACCCTAATGCAGAGTTCCAGGTCTGCCTTGTTAATTTATGTTCCTCATCATTCTTTCTGTATTGTTTAACGGTGTGGATATTGTGACAACAGAAATAACAGCATAGATAATTCTTCAAGTGTCCACAACTTTTGACTTTTATTTTATTTTATTTATCTTATTAGTAACTACTTCCGCTTGAGTGTCACTAAACATTTTTCTTCCTCAGCCAAGTCCATTCTTTACCGAGCAGTTGACAGCTTTTGAGGTGTGGCTTGATCATGGATCGCAGTATAAAAAACCACCAGAGCAGTTGCCAATAGTTCTTCAGGTTTGGCTTATTTTGTGGTCTTAGTCATAGTGGGACCTTGATTTCCTAGTTCCTACATAATGACAATCTCTAGGATATTATAATATGTTTTCGTATCATGTTGTCAGTCTAGTTTTGTTTCTCTATTTATGATGTAAAGATGTATGCTATCTATTCTGATGAATCAGCCAAATCATAATCTATGGTCATCACTCATTTTTCTTTGTAAGTCATGGAAATTTCTAAATTATAGGAGTTTAGTGACTCATTTTTGAGCTTGCTGCAACTTTTGCCATCTCCAACATGATCTTTAGTTGAAATGATGAGCACTTCTGATTACATTTTGTGCGTATTAAGATTGAAGTGCGTATTAAGATTGAAGCATGTCTTGAAGCATTATCTTGTCTATTGTTGAGTCTTAAGAACTTTAGGTGTGTAACTATGTATACTCCCATTTATTTGACGCTGCTCATTTCCTGCTCTGAGTGCTCCAGGATCTCCTTTCACGAGGATCTTGGAACAATCTAAAAATCAACTTCCTTGTCAGTTAAATATTTTTATTGGAGTTATAGGGCAGTTATGTTTTCAAGAGATTGTGTTGATTAAGGAACGCTTATCATCTGTATGATTGTGGAAATGCCGAAGAGAATTATTTCTTAATATTGGAGAGTCGGTGGCTTTACTTCCATGATGAAGAAGAGAAAGCTGTGGACAGGCTTTAGGGAAATGGTGGAAATAGTTTTTCCTGGTGACATTGGCATGACTAGTTGAAACAAATGTCTGCCTAAGAACCTTTTGAATCTCCTATTACCCTATGACAGGCATATTGCTACTAGACCATAGAAAGAAACTGAGTTCTTGTTTTGCTAAGGTTTTCCTTTTTCTTCTATAAATGTCTTCCACTTTCTTCCTTGATCCTTTACCTTGTGAATTTTCCTTATAGATGTTGAAGCTCATTAGTCAGTACTTTTAGTTCTTCTTGATCTGCATATATTTTGATCATATGGTGACTGCTTCTAATTTCCTTTTCTCCTCCCCCCCACCCTCCCAGGTGTTACTTAGTCAATGCCATAGATTTCGTGCTCTGGTACTTCTTGGTAGATTTCTTGATATGGGGCATTGGGCAGTGGATCTGGTACTTATTGGCTTCATGGTCGCTGTTTAGTTTGATTTTCCTGTTATTTAGTTGATTCATAAATTCAATTCTTAGCATATTTACAACAGTATTTGTTTTTCCCCATCTCAGGCCTTATCAGTGGGGATATTTCCTTATGTCCTAAAGCTTTTGCAAACAACCAATCCAGAACTGCGGCAAATACTTGTATTTATTTGGACAAAGATCCTTGCACTAGATAAGGTGAAGTCAGAATTACCATTTAATTACCCACGTTGAGGGTGGAGAGGAGAAAAAGCATTCCTGAAGCCAATCCCAAAATTATTGGGAACAAGGCCAAGTCTTTTGTTGTTATTCATATTTAAAATGACATTATGGTGATACTATATTTCTACACTATTTCATATCCCTACTCTCTCTACACACTTACTATGTACCTAAATATTTTTTTTATGCATCTCCATTTCCTTTGGAATTCAAAAATGTTGAACCATGTGCAATTTCTTGTCTGTCAATAGTCTTGCCAGGTTGATCTTGTGAAGGATGGTGGACATACATATTTCATTAGGTTTCTTGATAGTGTAGAAGCATATCCCGAGCAACGTGCAATGGCTGTATTTGTTTTGGCAGTCATTGTAGATGGTCACAGGCGGGGTCAGGAAGTCTGCATTGAAGCTGGATTAGTACACGTTTGCCTGAAGCATCTCCAGGCTTCATCTCCTAACGAGGCACAAACTGAACCTCTATTTCTTCAATGGCTATGCTTGTGCTTGGGGAAAATGTGGGAAGATTTTGCAGAGGCACAAATAATAGGTTTGCAGGCAGATGCCACTTCTATTCTTGCATCTCTACTATCTGAGCCCCAACCTGAGGTTTGTCTCCTTTCGTTGTTGAATATTTGTAGATGCAGGAATCACTTATTTGGTTGATGAACAGGAATTCTTTTTAGTTATAAGTAAAGGGAATATACAATTAGCTTTGAACTGTACTTATCATTGATGTAAACCCTTTAATTGTGAAAGCACATTTCTTTAGGTCCGGGCTGCGGTTGTTTTTGCTCTGGGCACTTTACTTGACTTTGGGTTCGACACATCTAGGGATAGTCTTGGAGACGAAGATTGTGATGATGATGAAAAAGTTAGGGTTGAAACTGGTATTGTTAAGAGCCTCCTAAATGTTGTTTCTGATGGAAGCCCATTGGTGAGGGCCGAAGTTGCTGTAGGTATGTATAATACTTAATTACATGGTGGATTGTGCTTTTTCTTGTCTCTGGCAATGTAACCAGTTATCTTTTCTTAATTCCATTTCATTAATTCCTTGTAATTTTCTTCTTTTTCTTGCTTGAAGAGGTATTTTGATTATCCCATCTTCTAAACTAAAGTGGATCGACCTTTTCTCTATCTGCAGCTCTGTCACGTTTCGCCTTTGGCCACAACAAACACCTAAAGTCAGTCGCTGCTGCATACTGGAAGCCTCAGTCTGGCTCTGTACTCACGTCCTTTCCTTCTTTTGCTGTGAAGGGTTCTGGGAGTGGTTATTCAACTCCTACCCACATCATCCCACATGGAAATATACCGTCTCCAGTTGGTCCATTGTTGAGAGTTGGGAATGACAGTCAGTCAGTAGCTCGTGATGGGAGAGTTTCCACCAGCAGCCCTCTTGCTTCTGCTGGAATAATGCATGGATCTCCTCTTTCTGACGATTCATCTCAGCATTCTGATTCTGGCATGCTGAATGTTGATTCAGTTGTTAACCATACAAGATCTAGGCCACTAGACAGTGAATTGTATTCACAATGTGTATTGGCTATGTGTACTCTGGCAAAGGATCCATCACCACGTGTTTCAAGCCTTGGGCGACGAGTGTTATCTATCATTGGCATTGAGCAAGTTTTTGCAAAATCCACAAAGTCCGCTGGTAGAAGTGGTCGGCCTGGTGAATCAACTACTAATCCAAACTCTAATGTAGCTGGACTAGCTCGTTCATCTTCTTGGCTTGAATTGAATGGAGGTAAGTTGATCATTCTTGGTATTCCATTGCGTCTTCTGTAATGGTTCTTTCTGCATCTTCAGTCCTACAGTTGCATCAAGCTTCAAAGTAGAGAACTTCTGTTGTACAGACATTATAGCTGAATTATTCTGGATTGACGTTTGGCGTCATTATGCTGTTTTTGTTCTTTCTGATTTAAGCCACTTCTGCATTTTATTTTCATTTACTTTCTGAGCTGTTGTGGCAGGACATTTGTCCCTGACATTTAGAACTCCTCCAGTCAGTCCTCCTAGATCGAACTTTTTGACAGGAATAAGAAGAGTGTGCTCCTTAGAATTCAGGCCACATCTGATGAATTCTCCTGACTCGGGGTTAGCCGATCCACTTTTAGGTTCTGCTGGACCATCTGGAGTTTCAGAACGAAGTTTTCTTCCTCAATCAACCATCTATAATTGGAGTTGTGGTCACTTTTCAAAGCCACTTCTTACTGTAGCGGATGATAGTGAAGATATAATTGCTAGAAGAGAACAGAGGGAAAAACTGGCCCTGGACCATATAGTGAAATGCCAACACTCTTGTGAGTTAACATTACTGGCTGATGTTCAGCCCCTCTGACCCCCACACAAAAAAGGAACCCTCTTTCTTATGCTAACAAAATTTAAGTTGTGATGTAAAGATGTTATTTGACGTGTGCTGCTTCTGTCTTTATCAGCTGTGAGCAAACTTAATAATCAAATTGCCAGTTGGGATACAAAATTTGAGACTGGCACTAAGACTGCGTTGCTGCAGCCATTCTCACCTGTTGTGATTGCGTCAGATGAGAACGAAAGGATTAGGTGGGCAAGTTCTAGTGTATCATGTTCTTCATAAACTTGTATTATTAGTACTTTCTACCAGTTTCACTGTTATTCCCTTTTCATTGGAGTAGAGCCCCATGTAATTTTCTGAACTGCTGGGGTCTATTGAAAAAACTTTGCTTCTCCAGTTGGCATTTTACTTCAAATTTTGGGTTTGGATAGAGGTTGGAGGGAAACAGAAAATATAGAAGCAAATTTGTTTTGGTTAATAATTTGTTCTTGATATTGTTACTTTTCTCGTGTGGCCTATGATTATGTGTGTGTTGGATAATTGTGAAGCTTGGGTTGTGTTGAAAATGGATTGATTTAGAATCTCACTCGTTCATATAGTGATAAAAATTACATGCTTTTAAATGGAACTGTATATATGTATATAATGAATCTTATTTTAGTTTTGTCATCTGAATTTCTTGTAATAATTCTCATTGAAGTAATAGTGTTTCTCACATCTTGTTAATTCTCTCATTAGATTTGTTGTGTGCTTTGATATTTCATATGACGTAACAATTTCTTGGTTTCATTCCTTTCAGGGTATGGAATTATGAGGAAGCTACTTTGCTTAACAGCTTCGATAACCATGATTACCCTGACAAAGGAGTTTCAAAATTATGTCTTCTAAATGAGCTTGATGAAAGCCTGCTTCTTATTGCTTCGAGTAAACCTCTTACTGGTTCATTTTTCAACTTGAAGGCATATGCATGGATGTCATACATGTGGTTGATTCTGACTGTTTATTCTACTGATCCTAATATAGATGATGGAAATGTCCGAATCTGGAAAGACTATACGTCAAAAGGACAGCAGAAATTAGTTACTGCATTCCCTTCAATTCAGGGTCACAGACCTGGAGTACGCAGTGTGAATGCTGTTGTTGATTGGCAGCAGCAGTCTGGATATCTTGTATATTTCCTGCCTGTTCTGGAATAAACATAAATGCTTTCAATTTACATGTTGACACTCGTGGAAAAGTATGTTGATTTAATTTATATATTTTTAATACATTTTTACGATGCTGTCAAACTAGTTTGCTTCGGGGGAGATTTCGTCTATTATGGCTTGGGATCTGGAGAAAGAGCAACTTGTAAATACCATTCCATCAACCTCAGATTGCAGTATCTCAGCATTGGTGGGTTTCAACTTTCACATTGTCCAAATTAAATGATGTTTATATTTCAATTTATTTTCGTATATATGCTTCGTCACATTGGTGGGTTTCCTTTGCTTTATCTACATTATGTTTTTATTGGTTTAGTCATGTTCAATTATTTTCATTGCGCTGGACTTTGCTGGTTGTCTTTTAATGTAAGTTCTGAGAGCCTTGTCATAGACTTCCAATCAATGCCCTATTCTTTAGGCTTCTTAACAATGAAGTTTTTTCTTGAACTTGATAAATAAAGTGGGCATCTTCAATCATTACATCTCAGCATCAACAGATGGCTGTCCCTAATTTCCTTTAGCGCTGCTGATAAATCATATTTAGATCTCCATGCCTCGTTTATCTTTATACAATGTTGCGTTGTAGAAATTGGTATTAGCCATCTAGGATTCTTTGATCTGTCATTTGCAAAATCTCGGACCAAGTTTTATCCTTTGGGTACACTATTCCTATCTGATGGAATATCCTCAATCTTCCGAACTAACTATTTCATTGCATGTTGTGTAGTCTGCTTCTCAAGTTCATGGAGGTCAATTTGCCGCTGGTTATGTGGATGGATATGTCAGATTATTTGACATTCGCACACCTGAAATGTAAGAATATATTCTATTTGATAATGTGATACATGGTGGTGCACCCGAACAAAATATATTGATACCTCACCATATTTTGACTAGAAGCCTTTGTCTGGGCTAATGGCAAGTGGCAACAAATCTTTCAAGAGTAATGATCAAGCGATTTTATTAACATTGCATCTACGCCTTGCTGAAATTTTTAGTCCTAAATTGTTGGGGCTTTTTTCTATACTAGTCTTAATAATTGAGCAGTGTCTCCTGGATTATCCCTGTATGCCCTGCCCTGGCACTCTACTTCTGTCGATATACTCTTCTGGATAATATTTTCACGCATGGATTTATGCTATTTTTAACTTTCTGCATTTCTACATGTTTTTTACATGTGAAATTAGGCTTGTCAGTGCTACCCAACTACACAAGCAACGAGTAGAAAGAGTTGTGGGGATTGGCTTCCAACCTGGACTTGAACCGGCAAAGGTGAGTAATCTCTCTCCCTTCCCCACCCACCACCCCTTCCCCTTACGTTAGGTTCATAGAGCATTGTGTTGTTTGGCGTTGCTGCTACGCTCCTAACCAATTATCACTTGTTGAAAAATGTTACATGTTTGTTACGTAGTACTAGACCAGATTGGATAGTTAATTTTTTTCTTGAATAGTCTAATCTACCTTATGAGCTATGCCTTCTATATCTAGTGAAATCAAGTTTGGTATGGAGTTATTTTTAATGTAATTTGAATCTTCTGTTTCCATCCTTTTCAGATCGTTAGTGCATCGCCTGCTGGTGATATCCAGTTTCTCGATTTAAGACGTGGCAAGGATGCATACCTTACAATTGATGCTCATAGAGGATCTCTTACAGCTTTAGCTGTTCATCGGCATGCACCCCTTGTAGCAAGTGGCTCAGCTAAGCAACTTATCAAAGTCTTCAATTTGGAGGGCGAGCAATTAGGTACCATTCGGTATTACCCCACTTTCATGGCCCAAAAGATAGGATCGGTTAGCTGTCTTACGTTCCATCCCTATCAAGTGCTGCTTGCTGCTGGAGCTGCAGATGCCTGCGTTTCGATCTATGCAGACGAGATCTCTCCATCGAGATAAAAATGCACACAACTCTATGATCTTGAGTCAAAGTTTGAGCCAAGTTAAACAGCAGTGCAATTGAAATCTTTTTACACAATCAGCATTTGAAGGGTACATTCGAAGTTCCTTGAAGGTGTATAATCCATTTGAAGTTCCTTGTTGAAGGTGTATAATATATTTATTCTGCCTCCTCTTTACAAAAAGTAGAGTCAACGAATTCCTTGGGAGGCTTTGGCAAATAAACTGTTTTATAGGTGAAAAGCTGTAAATATCTTTTTTATTATTTCTGCTTTTGGATTAGTGTGCTACTTTTTTTCCTTTTTCATTCTATCTTTTTTCAGCTCCTCCAATCCTTTGTTTATTTTGTACAGTTCAACTCTTCTGTTTATCTAATTTGAATTTGTTAACCAGCTTGTAGCCCCATCCCCCTTTGGCTTACCCTCTTGCATATCACCTGGCAAAGGTCTAGTGAAGTCTGTATACTGCCTCTCGATTCCATTAGAGACTAGGTACTTTGAGGTACTGATATGCTCCTCTAACCAAAAACTTGTTAGACGCGTGGTCTACTGCTCCTTCCCTAACCAAAAACTTGAGAGGTGCGGTCTACTTCCATCAATAGTTTATTTTGAGATACTTCTTGAAGGTTTGTTTTCACATAATTATGACCTAAGTTTCGACTGCAACTACACTAGTATACAACGAGGACAGGGAGATATATCATCTAAAGATGATGACATGGTTAATTCTTCATTGAAGTCACTCAAAACGGAAGGCGAAGCTCGCCGACCTTCGACCGTGTTGGTTCACAACTCTTTCCCCATCTTTCTTGTTAAACTTCGTTCTACAAAAAATCATTGACATTAGAGCTGATAGTGTGATTTCTACACCTATCCGGATCGGGAAAAGAGAAAATTTGAGTCAATTTGATATCATTATTATTTAATTTGGATAAATATCAATTGTTGTAAAATAAACTCGGTTTCGTTGGCTTTTGATGGAAAGAAGTAATAATCAGCCATACAAGGGTGAAACAAAAGAGAGAATTTCAAAGTTCAGGGACTAAATCATAAATGTTCATAAGTTGATGTGAATCAAGGAATGATGATTGAAGACTTGGAAGAATTAAACTGATTGAAATTAAAAGACGAAGGATAAAGCTTGCATGAGAAAAGAAGTCAAGCAGAAAGAGGAGGAAAATCTAGGACCAAAATGAAATTTCCCAAACTTATACCCTGTTTTGCGGAAGCAGAATGCAGGATCATTAGCCGTTGCAATTGCAGCCCGTTGAATGGTGCAATAGCACGGCTTTAATCTGGCCCGATCGAGCTATTTCCTTGTATGTTTCAATTACTTTATGAAAACCAATTTCAATATGGATTTTGACCTACGTAGTGGTTCTATAAATACCAACCTTCATCCAACGATCGAAAACCCCTCTCACACAATACAACTTACAAATTCTAGTAATCAAGAGAGACAAAATATCATTCTTTTGTAAGTAATCAAGACAAAATACAAGAAGTCAAATCATTTGAAAATTATGTTGGTTTTGGGCAAATAAGGAGGAGGTATAGTTGGAGATCGATCAAGAAAGATCGAAGAGATTCAAGATTTCGCGACTTTTTCCTCTTTTTCTTCATATATCTCAAATCTGGTTGATGTTCTATTTTACTCCATCATGATTTCTCATAACCTTGTAATGTTGGGTTAAACTTTTTGTTGCTGAAACATAGATGAACCTTTTATAATGTAGTTTTAATATTCATTTCAAGACTTTTGAGGTTAAATATTTGTTTATCTTTGATAGTGTCATTGCTTTTCAATTAATTGATGACTAATTGGATTAATGTGTGATTTAAACTATAACAAGAAAGATAGCATGTTATAACATTTGTTGTGATGTCCGATGAGAGATAGAAATGTACCGTTATGCCTTACATGATTTCAATAGGTGATGTAATGTTTGATATCTCGACCTACCCTTTACCCTACTATGGAGACAAGGGCTTTAACTGTTGACCCCAAAAAATGGTTCTAACTCGTGGCCAACAGAAAATAAGAGATTCGCGTCTTTGTAAATCGAATTGCACTATGCTCGAATCTAACTACTAGTTATATTGATGAATCAATGAAGGGAATGATCCACAACATTTTATAGGTTTTTATAATTGCTTTGTGCATAAAAAGGGGGTCGGCCGTTGAGTGTAGTAGAGAGAATTAAGGTTTACTTTGGATGTGCAAGCTTGCATTACCTTTCCATGGTGTTAAGTGTGGCTTTTTATACTAAGCGTAACGGGGAACAAGGCCCGTTGGATGGCCAAGCACGTGGTACATTAGATCCAATGGTCCTCATTGACGTCAATTAATCAGTCAATCAACGCCATTTAATGCTAAGATCCTCGCCTGCGGGCAATGAGTTCAATAGCGTATGCACGTAGAGGCGGCGCTTGCAGTGTATTGTCTTGTCAATCATTTCACGAAGTTCGCTGGGGTTGACTAGTTGCCTCTCCAGGAATGAGTTCGTACTGGGGACCTCTTCAAAAAGGGGTGTCGGAGATGGATTAGGCCTCAGCATGCGTCGAATCGGATCGCCCACATACCTACGCGTACCCACATATCTATGCCAGGTGTAATTTTGTCTATTCGCCACGTGGCGTGTTTAATTTATGATTATTTATATGAGTAACACCAGTCCCCCAAGTCCAGGTATGATTATTAATATCTTGTGTGGACTTAAACATTGTAAAATAGTTGGGCTTGCATCAACAGAGGCGGTTCTCTACAAATTCATTAAAGTATGAGGTGTGACCTCCGCGTGCGGACGAACTGTATAAGGACAGAGCCTTATGTGGGACGAGGCATCTTGGATGAACCACCGAACCCCTGTTCGCGGTTAGTCCCTAATCGACGCGCTTTAACGACTTGGAAAGTACTGATTCCCAACGAACGCCAACTAGATATTCTAGTCATTTTCAAGACTTGAGTGACGTGCGTATTTAATGCGCAATGATGATGATATCGTACCTTTGCCCAGGTGCACTTGAATTTTGGGGTGCGTGTGTTGCACGGGTTAATCTGGGTTCTTGATTCAAACTCGAATGCGCTCCTTTTGGTTTCTACGTAGATGGTGAGGCTACAGGTGGAGGACTCAGATTAAACTAGAGAAGAATTCGACGATGGGGATTAATCTGCCAAGCCTATATAAGGAGTTGAAAATCTACTTTTTCATCTTTTTCCACTTTCTAAAACTCTCCGAAGCCAAGTACCTTTGCAGTTGCCGACGATTTACTGCTTTTCTTTACTCAGACCATCCAAGATTTGGGTTTTTACAGTTTGAATAAGTATTTTCCCATACTGAGGCGTTCTCATTACTTCTTCTGACTTTTAATAGCTTCTTCGCCAAAGAGGAGTGTTGGTGAGGGGTCTTCCGAGGTAGATATGGTGCTAATTTGCGCGGAGGCTGGGATTCCTCTGGTAATTCCTACCGGGAGGGTTATGGAAACGATGGGGGGGCTCCCACGGTACAAGGTTGACGTGTGAGGACCTTACTGACAGTAGCATTAGGTGGGGGGGCCTCTTTGTGGCCCACGACATAAAGAAGAGTGAATTGGAAACCTTTAGGGAGACGTATAGAATTCATGACGATGTAGAAATGCTCCTACCGACCTAAGAAGAGAGGGCTTGCTTTCCCAAGGAGGGGTGTGTGGCCGTGAACGAGGCGATTTTGGCCGGGGATGAGATTGGCTCTGCACCCGTTTTTTAGGTTTATCCTTAGGCAATATAACCTGGCCCCCACTCAGCTAGTGCCTAACGCGTGGAGCCAATTGGCGGGGGCCTTCCTTCTTTGGAAGGAGGTCATGTTTGGCTAGGATATGCCTTCCCACGTTTTTCAAACTCTTTTTCAACCCCGAGTCCCCAGTGGGGGTACTGATTGTAAGGGGTAGTACTGTATGAACCCCTGGGGCTCACATTCCCCCTTCGTCTGGAGGACCATACCTCTATAAAAAATTGGAAGTCTTCTTGGTTTTGGGTTAGGGGTCGCAGGCAGACTGTTGAAGGGAATGTGGTCCCAGAGATTATCGTGCCGACCCAGATCATGAGTATAGTGAGTCGAGCCCCATCTATTTTACTATTCACATATTGTCGTTTTTCTTTATCTAACGCCGAATTGATGTGGCATTTTTACAGCTGCGGTTGATTGATTCCGCCTCGAACTGTCTGAGTGGGCTACGGTAAGGGCGATCTACGCGTTGCCTATTGATAAGAGGCACTTCAAGAGCGTCGTCGCCAAGCGGACCTTGTTCATCATCCATCAATTAATGGCTACAAAGTGTAATGACTGGCTCGACTTTATTAATGCGATCCTTTATCGATGTGGTCCCTAACTTCTTTCGTTTACAGGTCAACATGACAACAAAGAGAAGGTAAAACCCAACCTTTTTCAATTAAGAAGCCTCAGAGGAAGAAGCCCTTAAGTAGTAGCTCAACTACTTAGAAGAACCAACGGGATGAGTTGGCCCGTCTTTCATGGGCGAACCCCCCACCTCCTCCATCAAAGCCGGGAGAAAAGGACAAGGAGAAAGAAAAAGGGAAGGAAAATGGAGAAGACGAGGCTTCGGAGGGCAAGTCTTTGAAGAGGAAGCTGGTACTCTACAAGAACGTAGGACCTCCTCCTTCGCCTAAGTGCCAATCCACCTTGGACGAATCCCTGAATTGTCCCATTCTTGTCGAACCTATTTTGGCCCTGAAGGTTGCCGAGGCGGAAGAATCCATTGAGAAAGGGGGCAACTTGCTAAGGAAGAAAATTAAAGGTACTGAATCAAGTATCCTCAGTGAGGATAAGGCCCAGAACTTCTTGGAGGGGAGGTCGGATGAGATCGCCCCTTCGATTATGGAGATGCTCCCTGCCGGAGTCCAAGGGGCTACAAAGCTTAGCCATAAGTATTGGACCGACAAGTACTCGTCTTATGCTGAGACCTATGATGTGTCCAATCTCATGGAAGCAGGGTTCTCCTTACAAGCTCGTTCTCAGAGCTTCTTAGTTAATGCTCAAATGGAGGCAAGGCGGATGTGGAGGCTTGTGCAAGACTATTACAATCGAGCCCAGAACGTCGAGTTCACCGTGATCAAGGCCAAAGCCGAGGTTGCCTCTGCTACTAAATCTGCTGAGGTTTCTAAACTGAAATGCGCCGAGGCTGTGTCCAAGGTGGAGGCCCTCTCAAAAGAAAACGAGGGACTGAAGGAGAAGGCACACCTTTGTAAGGCTTAAGTGAATGCTTTGACCAAGAGGGTTGAAAATTCGGACAATCTTGAGAGGATCGCCTCAACGGCTTTAGAGGCGGCTAACAAAGAGAGGTGAAATTTGAAGGCTCGCGTTGTCGAGCTTACTGATGAAGCTTCAACCTTCGGGAAGCAATTGAAGAAGGCTGGGGAGGTGGCGATGCACGATTACATGGCCCATTTTCATGAGACTGCGGAGTGTGAGGGGTTGGAAATTCATTGGAAGAGGGTCGCCTATGCTGAGGTCTTTGAGAGGTTATCTGAGCTTTATCCTCAAATGGACCTAACTGCTGCGAATTAATTAATTTGATGGAGATATGAGCTCGATATATATTAACCGTCGATGGAAATGTGTATGAGCTCGTCATACTTGAACAATAACTTATGAACTTGTCATAATTAATTAATTTGATGGAGATTCACGAACTGCAACTTTACTTAAGCCTCGTGACCCTATCGTAACCGCAGTTTGCCCAACTTTGGCCACACATTGTAATAGTTTATTTAAATTGTAAAATGGATAGAAATTAGGAAACTTTAGTATGATTCTTCAACATTTAAACGTCTACTCCCGTCAGTTGGATTTTTGTTGCTAAGTCTATTATATGGGGTATTAGTCTTTCAAACATCTTTCAAGCTGGCTTGCCATATATTAGCTATTAACCGTTGATGGAGATGCGTACGAGCTCGTCATACTTGAACAATAACTTATGAACTTATCATAATTAATTAATTTGATGGAGGTATGGGCACGCCATATATTAATCGTCGATAGAGATAGGTATGAGCTCGTCATACTTGAATAATAACTTATGAGCTTGTCATAATTAATTAATTTGATGGAGATATGGGCTCGTCATATATTAACCATTGATGGAGATACGTATGAGCTCGTCATACTTGAACAATAACTTATGAACTTGTCATAATTAATTAATTTGATGGAGATAAGGTCTCAACATATATTAATCGTTGATGGAGATGTGTATGAGCTAGTAATACTTAAGATTTTATTGATCATAAACGGTGCATACACAGAGCAGGACCTTACTGATAATACATTTGGAGGTGCTTCACATTCCATGGGTGGGGCTGCGTTTTCCCGTCAAGATTTTCAATTGTGAAGGTCCCAGGTTTGACCTCACATGCGATACGATAAGGACCTTCCCAATTTGGGCCCAGCGTGCCTACCCCCGGTTCTTTTGACGACAAAAACACCATTATCAGTACTGAATCGCCTATTCGGAAAAATTTACGTTTTAACTTTGTGATTGTAAAATGCGAGGTCTAGGCTCTAGATCGAGGACTCGAAGAAAGCACCACGAGAGGCACTAAAAACCATTTTGATACGAGACAAGGCCGTTCAAATGAGAGAAGAAAACTCAATTCATTTATTTTGGGGGTTTGCAACCATTATGTCACATAGGGGTCACATAAATTAATGCATGGATTGGGGAATATTTGAAGAAATTGGGGACTACACTTGGAACAGGGCGATTCTTGTTACATCTTGAATTAGTTGGTCTAACGATCAGCAGCATTAAACCATTACGCTCACTAACATATCCCACTCTTCTATACTGTAATTAAAATTTTGATCTTTCATACAACCACAAGGAGGTTAAAAGCGGATGCTCTTTTGGCCATTTGCACATTTCACACGTCTAGAATTGGTAGATAGATGACCAAATTGTACTCTACTCCTCGTACAAAGGTTTGAAAGGAAGAAAATTTCAATTCAATTTTAACAAGTATGTTTAATTACTTTGTAGTAAAAAGCAGTAAAATCAGCCCCTGTTTGGTATACATTATTTTTTTCATTCTCATTTTTTTACTCATTTTCAACCATACATTCTTCAATAAAATAATATTTTCCATCACATCAATAACTTATCCTTCATTTTCAACCACACATTTTCCATCAATCTATTATTTCATAATACATTCCTTCAAAATAACGTGGCTCAAACACACCATGAATCCAATTATCCGTCTTATAAAACATAGCAACTGCTAAAGAATTAACAAAATCTAACACACCCCAAATTTCTCAAGAAAATATGTAAAAGTGCTCAACATAGCCAATATATACGTATCTAATCGAGACAAATATTGCTTCAATACATGTTACTATAATGGCATTAATATTAATAACAATCAAGCAATCTTCCAATAGACCTGCCAAATACTGAGGATTCTTACAATCCCTTTTCGACAAGTTACAAGTTGAAAAAGATACTGCCTAAACCAAGATGATCACAATATTGGTGTGTTATTGGATGAACAAAAGAGAAGCATTTGCAGGCATCAAGGAATCTGATTAACAGGTGCACTTATTTGATACTGCTAGTACAAAACTATAGTGCAAGACCATAATTAAATCAATCTAACATCTCACTCGATATTTTTCTAGAAGGTAAAAAACTTCGAAAAGAAAGAGATGTACATCATATTGACAGAAGTTCTTTCTGATTGCTCGAGATTTTCCATAATACCATAATACCGAACCGAGTTTTATCAACCTCTCTTACTTTCTTCCGCCAACCATATTTTGGCTGCTGTTTCCCGACAAGCTGGAAGATGGGTTACTTGTTGCTTTAAATCTTCCGTCTGCACCACCAAACACGTTAAGATCTTCAAATAATCTATACGATGGAATGAAGGGCTTCTGCCCAGCAGGTGCAGTGGATTGAGTATTTGAGTTGATCTGCGTATCTCCATTAATAGACACATAACTTTCTCGGGCAGGGAACGAGTCAACATGTTGCAAAGATTTAGTCTCTGGCAGAGGCATAGATGAAGCAGTAGGTGTTGAAGTTGAATATATGTAAGAAGGTCTAGATACAGGATTTGGATTGCTGTAATAACCAGGAGTGGCTGCCCATGGTGGAGGGGGGTAGCTAGAGTACTGAGGAAATTGAGGTTGAGGATGAGGTTCTAGCTGATGTTGAGGTCGAACATGGGATTGAGGTTGTGGTTGTGATGTCGCTCGTGAATATTGGGACAGGGGTCGAGGCTGGAAATCAGGCTGAGGTGGGAACTGTGGCTGAGATTGGAGTCCGGGTTGAGGCTGTGGTTGAGCCCAGGGAGCTATATAACTGGTTGGAGTCGGGTTTGCATGGTAATCCTCAGAGGAATACATAATCCCTTCGGTGGCCGAGGGAAAAGGACGAGATATATCAGGTTTCTGTTGCTCAGTTTGATCATTTGACACACTGATCGGAACTAATGCATTGCTCAGGAGGTCTATAAAATCCAACTCTTTTGAGGTCTGCACTGGTGCAGTAGTAGTAATTGGAACTAATGCATTACTTGTTACAGGAATTGACGGTGCTTCGGCAGGTCCAGCATTGTGGTTTGTATTCACTGAGGTGACACCCTCACTATTTACTGTAGACGTACTCTGAGAAGCATTGTTGCGAATTCTAGAATGCCTGCATCCACACAGTATGAACTCAGTTGAAAACCCAAGTACAAAAGAAGATAATAATAATAATAATAATAATAATAATAATAATAATAATAAGAAAAATGAATAACCGAAAACAGCTTTGCTCCAAGATGATGACATAACCCATCTAGAACACATTGAGGATACAAAAAATCTTCATACATAAACAAGCCCTATCTGATGAATGATTTACGAGACCAAGATATTCTAGTTATCTTTTAAATGATGTAGTTACGCCTTTCTTTTCCTGTAGCAATTGATAGCCCCAACAATTTTCTAAACCACAATAACCACAAAAAGCCATATCCTTTAGGGCAAATTTCCAACGATATTATGCGCAAGTAATATAATAATAACAATAACAATAACAATAAATAATTTTCTGCACAATGTAATCTTTCCTATAAAAGATTGTATACCAGGAGATTCTAAATAAATAAATAGAAAAAGACCTTCTAGCCAACTGTGCGAAGTCATCTTCATCTTCTTCTTCTTCACCATCAATCAGACCCCGAGTGACAGGAACCACTGGTGCAGAAGGTTGAGCATTTGGTTTTGAACTCTGTTCGGTGACTTCGGTAGGTCTGAGACTAGTGTCATGTATCTCAGGTGACCGGGGATTGACTTTTGTTACTTGAGGTGGTAGTGGCGAACCAGAAGCTATTGCATCATGTTTTGCCAGTACGATCTGCAGCCTATCATTTAATTCAAGTCCCTGACCAAGAAGGTCTTCGTCCCTGCCACAAAAATGAACCCATATGAAGTGAAAAAGAAGTTTGATGCACCCTGTAATGCGTACAAGCAAATTACTCATTCGAAATGTAGAACAGAAGAAAAGGTGGATACTAGGTTCGGGAAAATGTTTTTTTCCTGTACGAAACTTTCAAAATGCAAATACTTTCAATTTGGGGCCCATGTTAATGTTCTTCGGAAATTTTATACTGGTTATTTTCATGAAGTCGTAGTGGCATTATGCACCATTATCTTATGTGGACAGATGACAAGATAAAGAAAGAAATACCCAGCAGTTGTCAACATTTGCATTAATTTCCTCTGGCTGGCACGGCATTGTTCAACAAGGTCGACTATCACTTCATCTTTAACAGCCTAAAATGATGAATTGAAAAATATTCAGGATTGTCTGCTGCAATTGCTACTATTTCAAATCAGGGCATAGTTAGAGCTGCATATACCGAGCGATCACTTGGATCTACAGCTTGCAACATATCAGCCAAGAGATCCAGAACATCCCCCATAGCATTTAAGCTTGATAAACTACAAGAGAATAAAGGAGGATGTGAGTGGGGTATAGAAGAGAGAGAAATGATATTTACATGATGCTGGAGACATGCAAATAGTTTTAACCAAAATATAAAGCTTATTTATGCGAGAAACATGGGCATGTTCAATACACAATACTAGATAGGACTGCGTAGTATAACAAACAAAATTTTAAATTCTTTTTATTTTTCAATACTGACCAATAGCAAACATGCCACCTAAGTATCACCCTAACCTTAGAGTTTCCACTTCTGCTACCATGGCTTCATCAAGCCTTGTTGTAGAACTACTTGGCATTCCATAACCTGGTTGAGGATGTCTGGGTAATGGATGAGTAACAGGTGGAGTGAATATTGGAGCCGTATCTGGAGAACGCTGAGGAAATTGTACACCCGACCGCTGCAACAATCCAATTTTCAACAGTCATATGAAGATTAGTTCACATACATTTTAAAATTGTCTAAGAAATTTGTTGAAACTTGTAACTAATAAACATTGATACAAAATAATTAAACCAGATTTATGCTATGCAGTAAGTATAATCTAAGTCCTGATAAAAGCTATACCAAGTCAACAACAAGGCTAAACATTCTTATAGGAATTGGTCACATATTACATAACCAACTCCACTCATAATTTTAGCAAAATATATATATCCATGTACGCGTCAAATAGACCAGGGAACACACCGATTTGAAGGGTAACTTACCCTCAGATCCTCATAAGCAATGTAATATTGAGGATATCTTCCACCAGATCCACCAAATGCCTCTCTCCAAGTGTCAATGAGTACAAGGATTTTATCTCTCACGTGCATATCTGTCTGCAAAAACATCTAAGATTGATCTATCAATAATTGAAAAATTAACTAGTTATAGTAAATTTCACATTCAAACTGAAGGGGAGAGAACAAAATAACAACATATAACATGAGCATGTAGAAAGTGATAGTATAGATTTATGTAAGCTGCACATGTAGAAAAGACCAAATGATGTGAATAAGCTGAGCTGCAATAACTACTATAATGTTTATCCAGTATTAGCATCCACACATCAAGAATCTATAGGCTACATGTCCTGCATCTAACTCCAATCAAGATTGTTAAAGATATAGGAGGCTAAATTATATAAAATATATGTTGGGCAGATGTGCATGCATAGATAAATATATTGATATCTACTATTTTCAAAATGAATGGGTGTTCAGGATCAAATATCCTTGTCTTCAATCAGCTATTCAAAAATATGGTCCAGTATGAATGCACAAAGTGTTAGCATTCTTTCTTTCCCAACTTGCAGCCAGCAGCTGACTCATTAAATGCCTACTATTTAGATGAAGCTCGAGACAAAAAGAAACAAATAAGCCAAGCCAATTGAATGCGAAGATCTAGGCAATTTATTATTGAAGGTAATGCATAGCTACACGTGGAAAAAGGAGTATGAACAGAAAATCATCACAATAAAGTGCACCCCGATCTATTAGTAATAGTGAATCTAAACACCACATCAGGTGGACAGATATTCTAATTTGTGTAGGTGGTTTACAAATAAAAGGAAATAACATTTTATCGCTTATGTTATTATCCAGCTGTTACAGAAAAAAAATAAAAATAACTTGCCTTTTTCTTTACAATTTTGACCATTTCTTGCAGAATACTTCTTTCAGCTATTTGAAAATGCATATAATCACCACAGTTCTTGACCATCGTCTCCAGAAGCTAGAAAAACATTCAAGAAGCAAACTTAGTCGATCACAAAAACAAACAGTCTAACTATATAGTCTCATGGAGAGGGCGAAAACCTTTTCCCCTCAAAATAATACCGTTAAAGCGAGTAATTGAACTTTTGGATTCTTGTGCTGCAATCGTTTCTTCACAGCTTTGACAACATCTTTTGCAAGCCTAAAAAAAAAAAAGAAAAAAAAATATTCAACAGAAATTCAATCTACGATATAAAAATTTAAAGCAGATTTAATCAACGTCGCCCCTTTCTTATCTAATATTCTAAAAAAAAATTCACCCTCAATTCCCATACTCATACAGCCCTTGACCCCTAATATTCGACGAAGATAAAGAAGAAACCAATCCCTTTTTGTCCTTTTTGTAATATTCAAATTCAAGAGCAAACAGAAATCAACAATTAAATCTCATAGTAAAATCTTCAACTTCAAGAAAATATAAAAACAAAAAACAAAAACCCACAATTATAAAAGTCAACTTTGCATGAAAAATCAAGAAACTCAAAAAAAAAAAAAA